TTTTTTTTTTTTTTTTTTTTTTTTTTTTTTTTTTTTTTTTTTTGAACATGGAATTGCATTCCTCTGATATGTCTTTTTACTATGGACTCTGTGTAAACCTTTATGGCTTGTCAAATCAATAGATTTTTTCATACTATGAAGTTGAAAGTGTTAATTGAAAACAATTTTTCGACTTCAGTTTTTTGCACAGCAGCAGTTGCGTAGTAACTAGTTGCATAGCAATCTGGCATTGCCTAGTAGCAGGTGCATACCAACACTTGCATGATATTTATCTTAACTCGTACTTCAATATGTAACTCTTTGTCCTACCTCTGTTTACTCTGGAGTATTTTGTCATTCTAATTAAAAGTAAAAATACCATGTAATGGGCTTATTTTCAAGCTTGAATTAACTGATGAAAAATAAACATGTATTAAAGAACTGCTCTCTCGTTTTGTTAAGCACTTCTTTTTATCCACATACTCAAATTTTGTCTACAGTCCAACTCTTGTATTTCCAATCCCTTTCCTCACTCCACCCTCCCATACCTATATACTCATTTATAATAATATTCCTTCCTGGTCCAACAACAACAAAAATAGCAACAACAACAACAACAAAAAAAACCCAGTTCTTTAGAAAGTTTTCTGCAGTTTTTTTAATAGCAGGATTTGACTTACAGAAGTCTGCATTTTGTAGGCAAGTAAGAAGTAAGTGTTTGGAACAGACTACGTCACAACCTAAAGAGCACTATATAACTCTCGGATTATGCAATCCATGGGTTTCAAATAATGTGAAATTATGTGTGGAATAACTGTGCATCAACAAAAATATATAAAGAAGGCAGGGATTATACTATCTGAATTCAAGAAAATATTATACTTTTAAACGTAATATTTAGTGCAGGAGTCGCGAGTTGTAAGCAAAAAAGCAATTAATTCTAATGTCATTCCAACCAATCAGCATGTAGTATCTCATGATTACATCACTTGATGTCCGTAAACGGCCGCCATCTTGGTTTGCCGAGTTCTACGATTTCTTGGTCAAACAAACCAAAACACCGAGAGATAGAGACTTTTAAAGCAACCTTCCTTGCTGAAAAATAATCTATCATGGGGGTCTTGGACATTAATGATCGTCTCAAACATCGAATAATAATTTCAGATGAAGATATTGAATATCCAACGTAAGTATTTAGCGCCATTTTATCAGCCTCTGTTTTTTTGGCGGGTCTTGACCATCGATATGTACTTTATTAGGACGATAAATCTTGTTATTTTGTTTCGATAATTYATATTTTTCGATATCATATACTTTATTTGATAATCTAGAAGAATTTTTATTTTATAGAGTTCACAACGTTTGTAAAAAACACATTAAAAATTCAGCTGTATTTAAATGTTTTGGAAAAATAGGCTTAACTCGTATTCATTAGTTTTATACTATAACTAAATAAAAAACTTGGTAAGATTAATTTTAATTTATAATTGTTTAAACAATTTTTAATTATTTTAGTGGTAGAAAAAAATCAACATATTTCTATAAAATTCTTTAAATTTCATTGATTGTAAATTTTTTCAGACAGTTTTATCTTTTTTTTTTTTGTCTTTTCCTTTAGAGGGAGTTTTTTCAACAGTGCTGTTGTTTGGCCTCTGCAAAAGTCATTATTTACACAGAGACTGATTGCCTTAACCTTGTAATTATTATATTTATAGTTGGGAGGGATCTGATCCACCAATTGAGCTTCCTACAGAGGCAACGGAACCAACCAGGTCACCACGCCAACGCAGGCCAAAACTTGGACCAAAATTCTTTGTGAATACATCGAGTCGCAGGCCAAAGGGAAGCCGTAGTGGCAGGCGATATGAAAATAGTAAGTGTATTGCAACTAAAGCCACATTTACTGATCAGGACACTAGCTTACTATTAGAGAAAATAATAATAATGGCATTTCAAATTCAATCATGGATCGAAGGAGTGTCACAGGCTTGTTAAGGCCAGCTTAGACGATACGATTTTCGCCTACAACTATTGTATACAACATGCTCGCGCCATCCTACAACTCGAGTTGTAGCGTGTAAATCAAGCCTACAACTCGCCTACGACAGACGTGAGCATGTTGCATACGATAGTTGTAGGCGAAAATCGTACCGTCTAAACTGGCCTTTAGCCATTGGCTATTAAGTGCTATCCTCGTAAAACAATTATTCTTTTGCTTCAGAATTTTTGGAGGTTTTAGCAAAAAGTTAATTGTTTAATTTTTTTCTTTCATGTGTATAACAGCCTGTTTTCTGCTCAGCCTTGTGGATCATGAAGAGATACAGGAACTGGAACTGTCTGATATGGTCAACCAGACTATGACAATCTTCTCTACTCTGTTTGAAGATCCATACAAGATGAAGGTATCAACAACACCAAATAGAAGCAGCAACATCAAAAGTAACATCCAGAATACCAGCAGCAGTATCAGTAAATGATACAACATCATTAACAACATGACAAACAACCACCAGTGTATTCATGATCTTCTATTATTACGAAACTTAATGAAAACCCCAAACAACATAAAGACTGTCAATTTTTTTCCCCTAATACTAATTGTGCCTTGTTACTAGAATTTATTCAAGTCTAGCCTCATTCAAAACTGAACTTAAAACTTATCTCTTCAAATTAGCATATTCTTTGTAAATAATTTTATTTTGTCGTTGTCTTTGTCGTTTGTTTACTAGCGCTTAGAACAGATTTGTATTTGCGCTTTATAAATAAATATTATTATATTATTATATTATTATTATTTTACTGTTTCCCGTTATCCCTTAAGTCCTCATAAAGGTCGATTTAGACAGCCAATTTTTGCCTACATCTATCGTATACGACACGCCTGCATCATGACACCTACTCTTGTTGTAGCTTTTTAAAACACTTTAAAATACTGTAACTTTTTTCGTGTTGCACGCATCTGTCTTAGGTAAGTTGTAGGCTTGATTTACACGCTATGACTCAAGTTGGAGGATGGCGTGAGTGTGTTGTATACGATAGTGATAAGGGTGATCATCACAAATCATTACAGATCAGGAGGGTCAGGACACCATTTGAGCAATTATGGTCATTAAAGACACAATACGATTCAAAGTTGCACTGAGTGAGTCTTTGATACCTTTTTGTTTTATTTTTCCAAGATTTGGAATGACTATGCAAGTCTTCCAGAGGATCAACAATACCAATATATTCACTCACAAGCARAGGCATGTGAGAATGCAAGCACTACTTGTGCAGCTGTGACTGACGACAACAGAGAAGATTGCAATGAGAGTAAGTCAAAGTAGAGTGACCCAGGGTTGGTGAGCTACAGCCAGGGATATAGCGGCACAAAGAAATCCATAGTGTACTGTATATATCCCAGACAAATAGTTAAACCTTGAATATATGTTTTGAAGAAATGTATGCTGATGCCGAGAAGTCCTACCTAAATATTGACAAGAAAATCAGAGGAACATTCCGGAAGAAGCGTTTCCCACTGGTGAGTTAACTTTACACTAAACTAAGAAAGGTTTTGCAACATCACGTGATTGCAGCCTTGTTAGATGGCAGCAAAAGTACAATGGTTTTACATCAATTTCCAAGAGTAAATGGATTTTTTTGTCCTGCAATGAGTTTGCTAAGAATAACTGTTTTGATCTCACTAGGGAGGACTTGAAATGCTTGAAAACGAACTGCTATCCTGTTTCTCTGAAATGCCTGATGCCGTTATCATATCTATACTTCCATCCAGGTATTTAATTAATTAATTTTTTATTTATCTATTTATTAACTTGGCTTTTTTGACCACATTAAATAAAGTTATTGTATTGTATTGTATTGTATCCCATAAAACTGTGTTCCATAGTTACTGAGGTTTCTGATATTCTGTGAACTTGGTAGTTGCGTAGTACATGATAAAATTTGGCTTTTCGTTTCTGTCAATCTGAAATAAGCAGTCGGCAGCAGTAACAACTAATTTCACAACAAGCTGTTTAATGTCAGAGTTAGCAGTGAGAATATTGAAAACCATAGTTACACTACTGTAAATAATGATATCTGGTCCAAGCTGTCCGGTCTACGGCATCTGGAACTGAATTTTAAAAGATGGCTTTTTAAAATATGTTTTTTTCACAGTAAAAGTATTGAAGGTTATCGCTTCCAACATCATAACCTACCATACCTACTTATCTAAAATATTTTAAAATCTACCTGTATATTTAGTGGTTTTGCTAGATAAAATGTGAAAGATAAAATAAATTATGGACTTCTATTACATCTATACTAACCTGTCTTTTCAGCTTGGACAGAATGATGGTGCATGCCATCTGTCAGTACCTCAAGCTGACCTGCCAAAGTAAGTACAACAGCAACACTAGTCACCCCTTTATACTCCCTTGACACTGGTCTTAGACAGACCACAAGAAGAAAGGGAAGCACGGGTGGCCTGCACTCCTCTCACCAGTGCGACCTGGGTTTGAGCCTTGTCAGGCTCAGTGTCACGTGTGAGTTGAGTTGTTTGTAGGTTCTCTCCTGTGCTTTGAGGGGGTTCCTTTTCGAATTTCTGTACAAATGTACTGAACTATTTACTTGGTTTTGTTTAGTTAATTCTCTAAATACAAATAAGAAATAATTTTTCTAGCTTGATTGAAGCTTTTCTTGCTGCTGTCAAGAAAATCAACCTAAATTTGTATGGGAATCCGAGAACAATGTCCCAACTTTTTGGTGGCCTTAACACAATCCAAGCTAGCACCAAAAAGGTGAATTGGATTGCAAAACCTTTTAGGCATTAAGCTGTCCACCGGGGAGTGGTTAACATGTTTTATTTTGGTGGGGGGGGGGGGTATCTTTTTTTTCTCATCTTATTTTTTCCAAATCTTATAGAGTTTTCTTTGATTAAAGGTCATAACTGTAGTGGCTCGCGACTCATGGAAATACAAAATCACCAGAGCTCATTCAAACTTCCACCATTCCTGTTGTCACAATATCTAAGGAAAAAGGTTCTGAGCTAGCATAGGAAGGGAAGAAAGTATTGCTGCATAAAATGGTATTTTAGAATCATATGTATGGTATTTTATCAAGTGTTTAGTTTTTCAAACATTTATCATAATGAAAGGTATGAACATTTATCCGGTCAAAACCATTTTTGATACAAAACAAGATGGTTAATTTATTTTGATGAAATCCTAAATTCTTCTTCCAAGAGCTAGTTATTTAGCATGAATTATTTGGGAGAATATAGAACCTGATCATGAGAACACAGACTGTGTCACAAGATTTTGTGTTTAATAAATAAACAAAACCTGAGTTTTATTTTAAATTTTTGGAGTTCAAAAAATGACGTGGTGGTTTATACATAAATTTGCGAAATTACTTTTTTTACAAATAAAGGGTGGTGTGGTAGTATTGACATTCGCCTCTTACTTCTGGGGTCTCAATTTGATTCCTATCCTTAGTATCGAACATGGGTAGGGTTTGTTGTGTCAGTCCATTGATTCGAGGGTTTTTCTCCTGGTTCTCCCATTTTCCTCTCTCCCCAAAAGTAACATACTGTACTTAATTCCAATTTGCTTAGTCATGCCCTGACTTTGATCAGCCCCCAAGTTGTTTGCTGTGTATTTTTCAGAAGTATGGTACCGTACCAGTGAAAGTGCTCTCCTCTCATCAATGTGACAATCCAGGATAAAATTCCTGATCAATTTTATGTCAGTAAAGTTGCTTTTTGGTTCTCTCCTGTGCTTTCAGAATAAATATTGTTCTCTGGAATTTCTTGCTTCCCCCCCTTTGCAAAAAACGATGTCTAAATTCCAATCAGATTTGTTGAAAGAAGTGCCGCTGTGGGAAAATTGCTAAAGCCGCGATTACATGATGCAATTTTCTCTGCAACTTGTCTCGCAATGGCGTCACGACACAATTTGCAAGAGTGATTACATGGTGCAATGGAGATGTAATTGTTGCCAAAAGTAGAAATGACTTGTCTTGCAATTTTTTTCCTCAAATTGCTCTGTAGGTTACACACTGCAATGCTGCGTGCAACTTACGCCTTCCCATTTATTTTTTAATTCTTTTTATTTTTTTCTTATTTTTTATGACTGAATGTTCTTGATCTATGAGGCAATTAATTAAGCTTATGAACATATGCATCCATGGGTTTATTTTATGGGTTTTTTTGGGATAAAATTGAAATCTAAGGATTATTTTTCTACACTTTGCTAAAAACACCGTTTATCATTTGTTTTCCATATTAATCAACTTACATTCTCTCTTTTATTTTATTGAATAATTTTTTCCTTATTGTTTTACCCATTTAGTCTTACAAGTCATTTTATCTTCGATCAATTTCTTATTCATTTTTTACTACTTTAATTACTATATATCCCAGTACCATTTTAACTACAAAAACCTCAAGGTGTACAAACCATATGCTTATTCTTCTTCTTCTTTATTTTCATGATGTCCCCTTTCCTCCACTCGCCCGCCCCGCCCCCCTTGCGTACCCCGCCCCCCTTGCGTACCAGCACCACCTGTACCCCTCTATCTTGTTTATATCTATTGTTTATTCTATGTACTAAGCCATGGCAGTGTATGCCCATGTAGTCTGTACTGGATAGTTTTCACCTGATGTTCAGGGTTTCGGTGTTGGTGTAGTAGGACCTAAGAGCATAAGAGTATTTAAGAAGGGTTAATGCTAGAAGTGTACACTGTGTGACCTTTCTTATTAGTAGCAGGTTTTATTGTTTTATAAAGGACAGACAGATTTGCTAACAATTGTTTCCAGGCCATAGTATTTTTTGGTGGTAGGGAGCAAGAGCCTCGATTAAGGGCTAAATTGTTAAGCGATGCAATCGCTAATACAATTGCCCTATTTCACTATGATATCGCGTCAAAACAATCTATTGTTTAAACGCAAAGGAACATGGTCGTCGGATGGGGTCAAATCAACGCAAATTCACCGAAAATTGTTCTAAAACCCGTATCAATCCACGAAGAGAAGTAGAATAGCCAGCAAACGCTCAGAATATTTTTTAGTACATATTAACACATATTATATCTGGAAACCAAGCCATTTTAGATTAAACTGTTTCGCTAGGAGCAAATTTTGTTGAATTTTCTATTGGATTTGGCGATTCTATCCCCCACATAAACAAGCAGTGACGTCATAGTGAAAGAGGACAATTGCTACAGAAAAGTACAAAAATTTTTTTTTTAAAGATAACAAACTTGGTTGATTATGGTATAGTTCGGGTAAATATTCGTACCCAAGCTAGACCAGAATGCATTTTTACTTACAAGGAGGCGTGTCCCTTGTCTGCGTCTGTTGCTGGTCCCCAGTACACTCCAATGGAAGTTTCTCGCAGGACTTCCTAAGCACTTCAATTTCATCTATTATCTGGTATCTTCTTCTGGTTGCTGGTCCACAAGTTGCAGACCATGGCTGCCAGGCACTATAGTAGCACAGGACGGTGAAACATTCCTGACCTAGACCACAAAAACAATGCCGAAATCTCACTCAATCTTAACGCCCATATCCAATAGAAAGACACACACAGGGCTCCGAAGATTAAGCTGCGTTCATAATGTATGGCAGGGGGGGGGGGG